GGCCAAAATTCTTACGAGACAAATAGAAAATAAGATCGAGCCGCACATGAGCGAAGACCTGTCAACCTTACCGAGGACATCTGCTTCTGCCTCATAGATTGCCAAAAAGTATTTGACAGAGTGAACTGGAATACACTTATGGGTATTTTAAAACCTATTGGCATCGATTGAAGAGACCACAGGCTGATCCAGAATCTTTATATGAAACAGAAAGTGAAGGTTCGAGTAAATCAATGAGACATAAATAGCGTTGAAATAGAGAGAGGAGTGCGGCAAGATGCTGCATGTCTGTACGGAGAATGGCTCGTCAACGAGGCGCTTGAAAGCGCAGGAGACTTTTCGATTAGAGGAAGAAGAATCACCACCATAAAGTACGCCGATGATCTCGTGGTGATATCGAAAACCGAAACCGAGCTACAAAACATGATGAGCAGAATCGTTGAAGTGGGCAGAAGATACGGAATGGAGATCAACATCGACAAATAGAAAGTGATGAGAGTATCAAAACGAGATTATCCTCTGAAGATAACAGTAGGAAATCGAGAATTGGAAGACGTTGTTCATTTCAAATATTTGGGAAGCATTATAGCTAGAGACGGGCACTGCACCAGAGAGATCAGGACAAGGATCGCAAGCGCCAATGCGGCGTTCACGAAGAAGAGAACATTACTGACGAGCAAACTTAGTCTCGATTTGCGGAATGTGCGGATCAGAGACATGGACTCTGAGAAAAGCCGACAAGAACTATCTGGAGCGTGTTGAAATGTGGTGCTAGAGGCGAATGAAGAAAATAAAGCGGACTGGCAAGATTATAAATGAAGAAGTCCTCAAAAAGAGTGGGTGAAGAAAGGACACTACTGAGCACGATCCTGAAAAGAAAAGGAAATCGGATCGGACCTATTCTGCAAAAAAAGCCTTCTACACGACTGATGGAATCGCGGTGAGTCGCCAGAAATGGTGGTAAAGCCAGGATTGGGATTCGAGGTATAGTGACATTACCTTCAAAATGTAAACAAATTATCGAACAAAATGGTGCATGACTATGTTTCTAATATACAGTTCATAGAGAGTAGAATTCATATAGTAATTATAATCATAGAATTGCAATAAATATATCAACTATTATTTATTATTCAAATTATTGTAAGTTTGAAAGTTAGCAATGGAATCATACAATATTAAAAAATAAATATATTTAGGAATGTACTGTATTGTGATTTAAGGCAAATCTGCTATCATGTGAAATATGTCCCAGCATGACCTTATTACCACATTATTAACTATTCTCATCGTTAATCCATCTTTCAACCCCAAGTCTCCAATTACATCACAGCAAAATTTCATTGGTTACATGCGCACAATATTTTCCTTTATTGTATATAATTTATTATATTGCAGGTAAGTCACATTCAGACAATTTATCAAATACACTGATAGAAAAAACAAATTTACTTATCCATGACAAGTTCAAGAAATATAGCATTAAATTTAGTTATGAAAATATTATGATATATGAAAAATCAATTCATATGGTTTTAAATTGAACCATTACAAACATTCCTTATCAAAAATGTTATAGTATCTATATATAATCATTTGTTATATATTATAATTGCTTGCTGATTAATATTAATCTGTGAAATATACTAATAAAAACAAACTGGCTTGGATTCAATGAATAATTGCAAGGAAAGATAAAAAGAGAGAAATTTACATACATGCTTATAATGTTAATATTGTAAATTATATAATTTGTCAACATATATTTAATAAATCGTAGTGTATGGCATCGTGCCTTAAGGCAAATTGCTCGAACTTCCCATACTTTAATGAATTATTCGAGGAATATTAAATGTTATCAAATAGATGATTATAAATAATGTAAATTTATTATTTTTATTTTATAAAAACTAAATAAATAAAACTTAACCAATCGGATTTAAAATGAAGAACATTGTCAAACATTTCTAAGTATTTAATAAATTCAATTGCAAAGTTAAAATTATTTATTTGAAGTATATAAGTGATGTTTAGAACTTTAGCTAGAATTAGAATTAGAAACCGAATTATTTTTCGGTATTCAAAAAAAATTAAATTAAAAAAAATCTTTCCCCAATAGCAACCAATTCGTTAACACAAGCAGAAAGTTTTTTAAATAATTCAAACCGGATGCTTAGTTTTCTCACAAACTGCCATTTTTTGCACCGTTAGCTCTAGATCTCCGAAATGGCTACGTCTGCCTTTGCCAAAATCTAATCACCACTTCTCCCCATCATTACTACGAATCGAATGTTTTTTAGATCATTCAAATCGGTTGATCCGTTCTCCTTAAAACTGACAATTTTAACACATTTTGCCAACTTTTTAACACATATCTCCGAAGCCGCTGGACCTGTCTCCGTCAAAAACTAATCAGCACGTCTCCTCATCAATAGAATCGAATGTTTTTTGAACCATTCAAACCGGTTCATTCGTACGCCCGAAATCGTCGACGAAAAATTGTCTCCACACATACACACACAATTTTTCTGTGGTATGCCAAAATGTTCAGAAACCTCTGAATCGTAAACATATGCAAAAATTTTCATTTTCGATTTTTGGCCCATTACTATAACTTACCTCACGGGAAGTTAAAAATAGTTATTGGACTAACAGTTATATCTCTTTATAAACGTATTTAGTTTTACTCTTTATTATCATCTATAATAGCAAATAAGATGTACATTCTATAAAGACACCGAACACGGTTCATAAACTATTCCATTAAGGTGGGGTGGGGGTACACACCTAACGAATGAGCACGAACGAACATGTCGAACAAGAAAATACACAGAAGAACAAACACGAACACGGACGAACTCGAATAATTCCAAACAAACGCCTCAAAGCAGTGAGAGCTTGAATCTTTTTGTTCGAAGATGTACCGTGAAACTTCAGATTTATTATTTAAAGTGGCGGGAAAGAAAAAAATTATTTAAAGTCATCAAAATTACAAAATTTGTCAATAACAGCAATATCTTATAATAAACACAACATAAACTAATGCAGGGCTGCACATTTTAACATCAAAAAAGAAAAATGTTTGTCTACATTCGTGGTAGCGTCCACACTGCACATACGAGTTCAAACATGAACGTACAATTTTCTTTGATGTACCGACAAGTTGCGGAACATTGCTCGCCATGTTTGTTTGTGTTCGTTCGTGATCGTTGTGGCGTCCACACTATGCTCGTTGCCATTCGTTCTGGTTCGCAATTCTTGCTTGTTCATGTTCGTTCGTTATGGCCCGCTCCATTGCACGAATCCGTATGGCGAATCTGTTCGCAATGTGCGCAGACTAAATTATTGCAAGCAAAAGCAAACCTCGCGCATGTCAAAACAGGATTCGCCGTGCGCGTTCGTGCAGTGGAGCGGGCTAGGTGTGGACGGCGTGGACACCTTTACATTTGTACAAAAAAAGTCGACAAAATTTAGTGATAAAATTGAATTAACCAGATGAATAAAATAACTATTCTACATACAATTACTTGCCTATACATTTGCTACATTAAGAGATTATAACAAAAAATTATACATGCACTTACTATGTTTGTTTCGCTGCCAAAGTGCGCTGCGTTTCGCCAGTCGGAATTCCTTGAACAGACAGTTAAACGATAGGCTGTGATTTTTTTATAGGTTATGTGATAAAACCAAACTTCGTATTATCAACATACAACGAAAGAGTTTTTCAAGCTCTCATTTTTGTTTCTTAACGTTAGCAGCTTTAAATCGTTGCAATTAATTATTATAGTTGAACATAAATTAGTTTTTTAACTAGTTGGCGGGAGCTCGTATACCATTTCGTTTAGTTGTCAGAAACCAAACAGGCCAAACAGCCCGAACCAACGTCAATCACCAACAGCTGATTTATACTACTCTACTCTAATTAATCCATAGGGCAACATCTTTGCTTTAATACACTTTATTCGCGTACACTTTAAATAAGTACCCAAATAGATACTCAACTTCGTTATTAACATTATAAAGTATTAAAATATGTAAGATATTAAGATATAAGTAATTTGTAGTGAAAAGAAGTAATAGAGCAAAACTCATTTACTGTAAGTTTTGAGCTAAAGGGCATGCTATATAAAATTCTTCTTATAATTACAATATTTTTGTTTTTAGAATTATACATTAAATATTCGATGACTCATACTTAATATAATAGTGTAATATTAGTTACTTCTGCTATAGTGAACTTACAAACGAAAATATTATGGTATATGCAAAACAAAATAAACCTGCCAATTCTCATTTCTGCAAAGAGATGAAATATATTTTATATTATATTATTAAAAGCAGCAAGCATTTTTCAATATGTAAAAAATTTAAGGTGATTCACGTTATAAATTTTAAAAAAGTTCCACTGAAACAACTTATTGTTATTGTGAATTTAATTTGTATTTGGTATTGAAAATGTTTTAAATAATAAATGAATTTTAATTATCTATATGTAAATTTATACTTATTACTTATTATCAGCAACTATATTTATAATATTACTAAACAGTAGAAGAAAATAGAATGCAAAACTATATATATATATATATATATATATATATATATCAATTAAAATTACTGTATAGGATGAAAATTATAACTAATCAGTAAATATTATAACATTTATTTTTTTTATATTTTATAACCAAGCTTTAAGATGATAGAAAGGGTATATTGAAGTAATAAGACCAGTAACTTCAGTAAAAATATAGGATAAGTTAAATAATTAAAATAATGAAATAATAAACTATCATTGTTCAGTCAAACCATTTATAAATTACATTATTAGAGACACATTAGCAATTTTCATACAACCGATATAAAAAGATTTTTATGTTAGCAAAACTTTATTGTTTTATCTTATAATTATTGAAAAACTTGACTTAAGCCCAGATCATATATATATATATATATATATATATATATATATATATATATATATGTGTGTGTGTGTGTGTGTGTGTGTGTGAAGTGTATGAATAAAAAAATTCTAATGCAGATAGACTTAAACAATAAATCAGAATTTTATTATACATTTTTATAATTTCAAAATAGTTATGTAAATTATACAGTGCTAAGAAAATCAATACACAATTATTGGTCAGCCTAAAGAAGTACCATCTTCTTTATCCTTTTTATCTGTAGAAGCCGCAGAATCCTCAGACTCCTTTTTTTCTGGCTTGCTTGGCTTGCCCTCAAGAGCTTTGACAAACTCTTCAATATCTCCTTTATTAGCAGCAGTAACAGCTTCCGTATTAACATCAAATTGTGAAACAACAGGGCCCAACTGACCTGATTGTAATGCATTTGAAAACATTGATACAGCCTGAAAGAAAAAAAAAATCAAATTAGTTTTGTAATTCTGACATCATATATATTAGGTTGAAAAAAAAAATCCATTATTTTCGCATAAAATTTCATGTAAAAATAATTGAATGAAATAATAACTCTCGGAGTTATATCGAAGGGAGTCATATCTGAGAATTTGTCATATCCCTAACAAGTACTGTATCTGTTAACATGTACAGATATGTATTTGCTTATGGTTTTGTACTACTACAAAGGAAGATGATTCAGTTCGAAAGAAGTGGTTGTTTTGTCATTTCCCTGGCAATTTTATCTTTTTCTAGGTATAAAATGATTCAAAATATTACCATATTTTCCATAAAATACAAAAATATAATTGCAAAAATACAAAACAATTAAATTGTGTTCAAATGTGAACAGCTCAATCCTGAATTTGTTTAATAGTAATGGTTCATAACGACAATAATCCTTCTCCATGAATGACCGTAATCAAGAATATATATTCCGGAAATTACACAAATTAACTGAATTTTATAGCCTAATAAAACTATACCTTAGTTTGCAAAATGTATCACTGATATCAATAGTATACAAACAGCAAAAAACATTATTATATAATTACTGTTACACAATTAAAATTATATGTGAAAAGTAGTAATATGCTAATCGAATTACCGATTATACAATGAATCCTCAATAGTAGAAGGGGAATATAATGTATAATTATTTGGTGACTAATATTTTATTACAAAAGATTTGTTCTTATTATATATAAAGTTTACTTTCATATAAAAACAATTAAAGATTTCAATGTTTTCTCTTCGAAAATAATTATAAAATTGAATTTGATTTTTAAGCTTTCCATTTTTACTTTTGTCAATATTGCAAGAAATATGAGTCATTGTTTCAATCGCCTGGTTGATCTAAAAAATTTACAGCCTGACATTTATTATTAAATTTTGGACACCTCTCGGAAGCGGAGTCACATCCTAGTCAGTTTGGCTTCAGATATAATAAGCCATCTCTACTAATTATATATATATATATATATATATATATATATATATACTCGTATATATATATATATATATATATATATATTGATTGTTTCTTTTCCGAACAGTAAATCCAATAATAAAAAACAATTTGTTTTTTGAAGATGTTTAATAACGACGTTTTGGAACTAGATACATTCCATCATCAGGTTTACTCAGTCAAAGACAATGTTTTTTGAAACTATTGATTAACATTAATTAATGATGGTCATTACAGATTATTTAGAAAAATTATAAAGGAATGGATTATGTACCAGTGTAAAGAGTAATAAAAATTAACTAAAAAAGGTTTTATATAAAATTGAGAAGCATAAAATTATTTACCTGTAATTATTTATATATCCATATCACTAATATTTTTTTTTTTTTTTTTTTTTTTTTTTTTTTGTTAAAAACACTGGATTTTTTCCGAGGATATTTGTAAATGTTTTGACTTCACAAGACTAACACACTGATGTGGAGTTCTGTCGGCCAGGTGTAAGGGATATGTACGGAATTTAGGCAAAAATAATTTTTTATGGCTGTTGTATTGGTAATTTACGAAAAATGGGAATGTGTTGCTTCAGTAAATGTTGAGAAATATTATGTATATATACATGCACACACATATGCACACCTACATACACATACATACATATACATATATCTATATATTCATGTACATATAATTATATACACGAACATATACGCAAGTACATGTATATAGTGTATATACAAAAACATACATATAAGCACATATATGGATGTGCATATATTACTACATATATACATTTATATATACACACAAAATTATTAAAGGATTAATCGTTTTTAATTAGGTTTAAAAAATATATATCTTATAATTCAAATTTGACCGAGTTTCTTCATATTATGAATAAAATCAGGTACTACTTTTAGCACTCAAAATCAGTATAAATTATCACTAGATTTAATAATAAGGAATTTTTCATAATCATTATTTCTCAACCATTTTTAAATAATGTTCTGCTTCAATTCAAATATTCATGATGTGGTGCGGTGTGTATGAAGTGTAACTTACTTCAATTGTTAAGTTTTGATTACTGATACACGTAAATGTTAAATATCATCAAAGTTTCAAGTACATGGCATACTTCTATGATATTTCATTCTTGACATGAAATTTGATAATCTATTCTTATAATAGAACATTCTTATATACATGAAACTCGTGACCAACAGAACAACAATAAATCGATAATCAAAGATATGTCGCCCATAAAATTTGAAACTCACCATATTTTATCTTTGAATATTTTAATCAAATTGAATTTAGGTACATCACTATGTACCAATATTGTAATTGAAATAATTGTTTATGTATATGCGTTAAGTATATTAAATAACAAATACCTGGTGGAATTGAGGAGATGCAAGAGTGTCCCTTAGAAGCTCTCTAGAAGGGGCTGGTTCTTGTCCCGCGGGAGGTAGATGTGGTTCCAGTACAGCCACTCTTTCATCATCTTTAATAACAGTTTGTAAAGCATCTACATTAAGGGCTGATGCAAGATCAACACTTTGCTGAGAAGAGGGAATATTGGTTCCAGTCTGTCCATCCGGAGACGTCAATGTAGATAGGTAACTTTGTAAATCTGACAGTTGTATTGGATGCCCTAATAGAAAAGAATATTATATTTTATATGTATACTTTGTACAATCTACATTTGTGCTTGAAAAAACAAAAATTGAAAATAAATTGGAACAACATTTTTTTTCCAAGGGCAATTATTTTGTTGAAACAAGAAGAAAGTTCTCAAAAACTGCCATTTTTGCACATTTAGCTCTGTATCTTTGAAATGGCTGGACCTGCCTTTGCCAAAAACTAATCATCTCTTCTCCCTATCATTACAAATTGAATGTTTTTTTAAATCATTCAAATCAGATACTCCATTCTCTCAAAAACTTGATTTGTATTTTCTGCACTCTTTGCTCAGTATATCCGTAACGGCTGGACCTGCCTTTGCCAAAAACTAATCAGCACATCTCCCTATCAATAGAAATCGAATTCAAGATCAAGTTAAGAATTATAACATTCTAGATCCTCCCCCCAAGAAGTAATGCCTAACGGCGGTTTTCGTGGGGACCAGAGGCAAGGGCAAAGCGGAGGTTTTAGTCGGTATTATACCAGGGCGTTCAAACGTCGATTTTCGGCCCATTACTATAACTACCTTACGGGATGTTAACTAGTTGAATCGCATTTTGCTCTAAGGCAAGTTGTATGCACTTCCCGAAATATGTAATAATTGACCTAATTAACCGAAATTGAGATTTAAATATTCAGATAAACTTTTCAACTGTTTATTTCGAAAATAAAGTTTTTTATTTTACTTAAATCTAAACATTGTGATTTCTAATTGACATCTCTCAAACATATTTAAATTATCTGTAATAATATTAATTATAGTGCACGAACATGTGTGTGCTTGTTATCCTAAAATTGTAGCTTATTATTCCAAATTTTAATTAATCTATATATTATATACAATTCAACCAACTTTCATAGGACTGTTTAGTGCATGAACTTCATCGCCATGTTAAATTTCATTAAAAATATTGAAACATTTTGTTTTAAAAAAATAATTTTTTTGTAAAATATTAAGCATTGCTATAAGAAAATACTGGAACGATTGCATATATCGTGTATGTAGTCCGTGATTTCATTTAATTTTAAATTAATGGTAACATATTTTACACAACTAGAGACATTATGTAGGCTGCTCACTTACTAATAATTCCAAAGCCATTCCTAATTTCTAATAGCTTGGCCGATCTCGATACCCCAATCGCGGCTTTTAAATTTGCGAAATTAAAATTTTGACTTATAATATCAATAAAGCGACTTTTGACACAAATTCTGACATTTTTTATCATATATTTTCAAACTTCGATTGATTTTTAAAATTAATTGACTTGTCGTAGAACCGTAATATTTTAGTATGTTTTTTAAGACCTAAAGGATCTATCAACATAAAGAGTTTCATCAAAAAATTTTTTCAATAGTCAATCACGAAGAAACGGCTCGGCCTATCTATCGTTAAAGCATGTTTCATAAGATTAAGCATCTTGAATGTGTTCCGATTTGCGCTGGCCTGAGAGCCTCTTGCCACATACAAATATTCTGTTTTTACTACGAACGAGATTGTTTCGCGCATGAATTGTTTCGACTTTTGCTATCCTGAGTACGTCTCGCCCCTTTATTTATATATTACCTTCAAACTTTTATCTAAGCAGTGATTTTTAGCCTTTTTGTATTTCATATATATCTATGAATGTGAGCATAACAATACTTTTTATAGTCTATAAAAATATTGAATTGTTGAGTAGATTATTATTCCATAAAGCTTATAAGTTTATACTTTCAAGTGGATAATTATTATATAATTGTTCAAAGTACGATTTAGTAATTTTTGCGATCTGACTTATTTTTGCTTTGCCATGAACAGTTTAAAAACAAATTAAAATTCTTAATTTTTTTTTTAAATGTTTTTTTTTTATTATTTTTTTTATATATATATTTAGCCATATTTGAGAAAAAGTCGACATACACACTTTTTCCAAATTTGGTCTCATTCGATTCATATTGATTTGAAAAGTCGAGAAAACATAAAATTAGCAAAACGGATTTTTGAGCGAAAACAAACTTCTCCTCCAAAAAGTTAATAATCACTAGTGTATCAAGCCAGCTTACTTGTTGGTGTTGATTTATCATCTAAACTTTTAGTTTTGCCATCAGATGTAGCTGATGGTTTTGTAGAATCTGTAGTATTTAAATCTCCAGAGTCAGGAGAAGCAGCAACTGCTCCTGATGCATTATTTGATTGTGACGCTGGTGTACTGTAACGACTTGATGCTCTCCTTCTAAAAAGAAACATAGCACTCAAAATGTCATCAAACTCGACTTCAATTCATGTTATACCAATGTTTTCATAAATAAAAAAAAACATTTCAAATTTCTTTTGATAATCAATTTGTTTATTTTATTATATAATTTTTTTTGTTACTTTTGTAGGTAAGTGCATGTGTTGGTGTCTTGAGGATGGAATCTATACAGTTCCATAGACAATTAATCATATTTAAAAAAAAAAAAAACAAGTTTTATGGGTGTGGGTATATATATATATATATACATACATATGTGTATATATTTTCAATACATACATATACATATTACATATATTCTACTGTATATTATGGCTTCATCTTATCAGGATACAAAATTGTAAGTTTTTTTTTATAATTATTATTGTTTTTCTATGATTTTTTTTTACATATTATTTATTCAGTTTTAATTTTTATAGTTATATTGATTGCCACTGAATGAAGGCTAAGATACTAGCCGAAACGTACGGATTTTAAATTTATTTTTAACAACTCCCATACTATTTTTTAATGATGAAACACCTGACTTTTAAACTCAAAATATATAAATATATGTATATGTATACTAGCTGACCCGGCAACCGTTTGGAAATATTTCTAGGCCATTTTTAGTATAAAAAATGGCTAATTCTAAATGTAAAAGAATATAAGTGGTACAAGTGAAAGGCAGCTAACACAAATTGAATTACCCACTGCACATATAGATGTTCCTACCTAATCTGAAACTGATTTTGATATTCAAGGTTTTGATCTATTATTACTGCACTTTTCATTAATTTTTGAATTATGAGAAAAATTTCCAGTTCTTTCTCAGAAACAGTTATCTTCAGATTTCAATGTTTAATTTCTACTTTTTTTTGCTAAAATTACTCCTTCTGTAAGACAATAAAAAATGTGTACTTCTTAATATAATAATTTTATGCATCTAGTTTTATCGGTGGTAACTATTCCTTTGCCAATAACTAAGAATTGTTTTGAATATGTTACAGCGGACAGAGCACATATATTTAAGTTTTTCTATAAGTTGAGAAAAATCTTGATCAAAATTCAATGAAAAACTACACAAAAAAGATGATAATTGATCAGTTGTCAAGCTATAAAAAACAAAAAATACAAGGTACAAAAAATATATGTTGGCCAATTGTGTCATACTGATCGTGATTATAAAATTTTATAGAAATCGTTCAAACTGTTTCGGATGAGTATTGCGGCAAACATGATGATACAAGAATTTTGTATGTATATATATATATATATATATATATATATAATATATATATATTAACAAAGTCTAGTAATCGGGCATAACATTCCCCGTTTACTTCTTTATCTTTGCACTGGTTCAGGGAAACTGTCAAGTTCATTGTCTCTAATACTTATTTTGAATTCAATGGCTCTTTCTATTATCAAATTTTTGGGACGCCAATGGGATTATTAACACTTTCCACTCGAGAGTCGGACTGCTAGTGGTACGCTGCGCTCGGAATATTATAGTGCTATACATATCTCTCAACTCGTAATTTTTTTTTGTTTCAGATTTTTTCAAAATGTGGTAATATTGCCATTAAATATAGTTATTATGATAATAAAATAAAAAAAATTAAAAATTGAAAAAATCAGCTATATTGTTTAAAAAATTATAAAAATTATAAAAAATTATAAAATTATAAAAAATCTATTAGAATTAATTACAAAAATTTGTGAAAGTTACATTCTGAGAAAAATAAATAAAAAAAGACACTGCGTATATTAGAATATATATTATAATGGCTTACAAAATAATAAATGTACATAGACAAGAAAACAAAAATTAAATTCAACATATTACCATTATCATTGAATTCAATATATATATATATATATATATATATATATATATATATATATATAATATATGTATATAAAATAACATCTCTAGTAAAATTTATATCTCAAATAATAATGGGAATCATGAGCTAATAAATTAATTTGTTATATATTAATTTTCAAAATTAATAAATTCATCAATAAATGAATGTAATAGTAAATTAATTTAACATGAAGAAAATTAAATGTTGTAAGTTTAGTTCGCGACGACATCCGAGCGGAACGGTAAAACATATCATGCCGCCGGAGCGGCGACATCCGAGCGCAACGGTAAAATGACTATGCCGCCGGAGCGGCGGCATCCGAGTCGAAAGGGTTAAAATCTTCCAATTTAACACTAAGATTAACTAATTGTAAGTACTATTTACACTTTTAATTTTTCTTTTCACTCCAATTCAATTGTTTTAGATTTTAATTTCATTTTTAGTTTGCATTAAATGAAGGCTGGGATTATAGCCAAAACGTATGGATTTAAAATAAATTTTTGAAAGAAATTCATATTTTTTATTGATGTTATGCCCGATTACTAGACTTTGTTAATATAAATATATATATATATATATATATATATATATATATATATGATTTAGTAGTTAATTTTGATGTTGAAATATGTGAGTGAGTTCTTGAGGGCGATACATCAAACAAAGAAAAGCCAAAGATTTATAAAATAATCTTTATTTCCAAACGTTTCGACATTCAATTTAATGTCATCATCAGTGGATCTAAAAACAGTATGAAAATTAGCATATCTAGGTAATTATAATATATGTGGATTGGTAAAGGAACTATACAATAAGAGAAAAATTAACAAACAGCAACACTTAACGACAAACCAATTATAAAAGATAGGAAAGGTAGTAGAGATTAGAATTAAATAAATAATTAAAAAATATAGGCAAATATATATATATATATATATATATATATATATATATATATATATATAAACATACAATATATGTAAACTCGTATATATGTAAAGCAAACAAAATATTTATGAAGATGGATAATACATATAAAATACAAGTGGACTTACATTATGTTGGTTGGTTACATATAGAGAGGTGTACACAGCACTAGAGATTGGCACTAACATTTATACAACTAACTTGTCAACACTATGCATTTTTTATAATTTTTTGTATGATGTAAACAGAAAAATGATAGTTTTATTGAACCAAAATGTAAGTAGAATTATGTAATTTCTGCCACGACTTCTGTACTTTGCAAGTACCGAGGCATGTATAAATGCCAACACGTGTTTTGAGAGACCATACAAACCTAGCCTAACATTACTAGTTTCAACTCCGACCATTTTCTACCTACCCGCCCATAACAATCCTGGAATGACCCTTAAAAATCTCTCAAAACACGTGTTGGCGTTTATACATGCCTCTTATTGTATAGTTCCTTTACCAATCCACATTTAATATAATTACCTAGATATACTAATTTTCATACTGTTTTTAGATCCACTGATGATGACATTAAATTGAATGTCGAAACGTTTGGAAATAAAGATTATTTTATAAATCTTTGGCTTTTCTTTGTTTGATGTATGCCCTCAAGAACTCACTCATATATATATATATATATATATATATATATAAAGTGAAAGCTCCTTTTTCACAGGGGACATGTTACATAAAAAAGACTTGAGTAAAGAATCTGCAAATACAGGATGGCATTTCACATGGTGTTATAGGGAATACGATCCAACGTAATAAAATAAAGAAAACTAAACATTTTTGAGAACTTTTATGTAATACGCAATCTCCATATTAAACTGATTCCATATTAAAATTAATCAGTAATAAGTTCAGCATCACATCTAACGTAATTATAGCACTTTATATCAATTACAATAATATATTCTTAAAATAAAGGTCGATTTATAAAAGTTTTACATTAATGTTAAATGTGGTACTAAACTTATTACCAATTACTTTTAATGTGGAATCTGTTATACTTAAGATATTGCATATTACATAATAGTTTTCAACAATATATAAAAAAAAACATTTTTAATTATAATTTTTGTACATTTAGATTATTTATGGTGAGACTAAGGTAATGGTTTGAAAAACTTTGTAATATTGTCTTGCCCAGCAGTTTTTGACTGCTTCTTTAATACAAACTGATACTCAACAGTGATACCAGAAATTTGCTTATGTTCATATAAAAATCACACAGATTATTTTTAATTCTTTACTGAGATATTTCAAATTAAATTTGTTGTAGAAGCGATTGAAGGGATTTGCTCTTTTTCAATAAACTGGGAATGTGGATTTCATGTCAATTTGAATCAAATTTGACTGTTGTTTTCATTCTATTGGTTTACATTCTTAAAAACACTGATAGCGGCTAAAACGGCTTTAGCGGCTTATATCAAAGTTTTCTTTAGTTCAAAAAGACGACATTTAGCCGAGGATTTTGGGTTCGATAACTATTGGAATCCGTGAATAATGAAATTTTAAGCCGGAAAGTGGGTAGCAATTTGTTTGACTGCAAATGAAGGAAGTGCGAATAAAGAACTTTATATATATATATATATATATATATATATATATATATATATATATATATATATATAGTTGAAAATTACTTCAATAATGGGATACACAACAAAACTGAGTACAAATAAACTAAAGAAGTTGAAGATAATTGCACAAATTGACACAAACATTAAATATAAATCAAATTACATAGAAATTAATAATTCTGCTAATATATTTTTTATACAAAGTGCAGTAAGCTAAATTTTTTGTTTCCAGATATTAATGGCGTTCTTAAATTTACTACGAGAAATTATACAAATTCAAATGTAAAAAGAAGCGTTTATAAAATCGCAAACACAAATATGCAAACTGCATTAGCACTATAATATTGTATCTGATACATACCCCATTGGGCCTAAAATTGAATTTATTCTTTCTCCCACACCGCCAAACAATTGCATCAACTGTTGCTGTGACATACTATTCAATAGATTCTGTAGTTCTCCTTCAGTAGCTGGTCGAGGTTCACGAAATCCACTCATTGATGGAGGATTGTTCAATATTTCATTTATGCGCCTGCACCATTCATCATCTTTGTCAGTCTTGGGTTCCTAAATATCAAATAAAATATTCTTGAAATTCTAAAAAGTAGAGTAATAAATATACAGTATATTTGCAAAATAATTATGAAGCCTAACATATATAATTGAAATTATAATGCGTGTATTTTAAAATAACCGAGTATTGAATACTTAAAATTTTAAAATAAAAATATCAATTATATAAATAAATTAAACAAATTTATGTGAATTATCCTCTCACAACATAATTAAATAATTCCATTAAACTACAATAATCTTGAACATAACTACAAATTAGATTTCACTAGTTTCAGATAAATTTATAAAAACCTTTTAAAGCACTAAATTGCATGGGTGTTTCCAAAACATTATAACTAGGTATAAAATAATAACATTTAAATTGCATTAATTCAAATTTTTTGAAAAAGATTCAGAATTAATAAATAATGCAGAAACAATAGCATAATTTATTTCCATCATTTATACTTACTTGCATCCAAAAAAATAATTTTCTAGAAGAAGTCTTAAACTTCAATACATACACTCGACCAGTTGTACATTGGCTAACTTTAACAAATTCGCAATCATCAGGAAAAATGATAAGATCATCTTCCACAACACCGGTAGTTCTATCCTTCCAGCAGAAATGAATTAAAGAGTCATCACTTTGGTATAGGTAAAGAAAACCTTTTCTTTTATCTGGTTCAACCATTTTATCTTTTAATGTCATTCGACCAGCTCTGAATTCAACTAAATGCTTTACTCCACCAGAACTGCCACCAATGGCATGACTATTTCCAAAAAGCGCACCACTAGGCATTTTCTGTTGAAAATAAAAATTATTAAGCATGCATTCTTAATTAAAATAATGTTAATAAAGATGCATACGCTTGCAGTTAGTATTAATAAACGTTAAGTATTCTCAAAAGAATGCCGAGTTCATGAAGTACTCTCTTTAATTTGTTTTTCAACAAGACAAATTCTTCACAGTTAAATCCTAAACAATTCTATTCGAGTAAATTAATATTTATAGAACAAACGAAACAAAATTTGACAATGACTGGCTAAATCATCCGTTTTCTTACTTATCCATAGAATAGACAAAATGTGATTACGGTTGTGCATGGGCATTTCACACAAAGCTGGCTATACCTAGTAACTATCTATGGCTCGCGAAAAGTATATAAAAACGATAAAAACTATATAAAACTATGTCGTAAATACGCAACTTAGACGTTTAGTTTTATTGTTTTAAATAATGTTTGGATATTTGGATTAATTCGTGCGATCTTGCAATTCTGGCGATCATGGGAATAACTCAGTGTGAAATTGGCTGTCTAAAACAATAAAACAATTTAAATCTCCGATCATGGTATACCCTAACACATAGATAAATAAGCATAAGCATAAGCCCTAACACATACAGATTAGGAAAGTATCAAATATCAAAATAGAAAACTGTATGCCCATGTATGCCTATGCCAAACCCTGGGCCAAAATGTGGATTTTATCTTATGCTCTATGGCAGTGACATCTCAAGATCGATGAACGATATTTATCACCATAGATAAAAGAAAAGTAGAAGATAGAAGAGTTTATCACAACTCCTTCTATCTATGTCACTATTGAGAATATTCTGTGTGTTAGTGCCTGTACGCAAAACGGCGGCTTAATGTCAAATGTCATATCCAGTGAGAAAACTTAGTTTAAAAAATAAATAAGTGACTAAAAATTAGTGCTTAATAAATATTATCTGTTCAAATTTAATGTTATTTTTTGGGGAATAATCGAGTTGTATGTGCTGAGATATTTATAAGGTTATTGGTTTCACATAATAAAGTCATGGCGAATAGAACTGTTCGTGATGCCAAATGCATTAAAGGCACAAATCCCCAATATCTCATAGAAAAGATAATACGTTCTAGAATATATGACTCAAAATATTGGAAAGAAGAGTGTTTTGCCTTGACTGCCGAATTATTAGTTGATAAAGCTATGGAATTGCGCTATATAGGTGGAGTACATGGGGGCAATGTTAGACCATCTCCTTTCCTATGTTTAGTTTTAAAAATGTTGCAAATACAACCTGAGAAAGAAATCGTTGTAGAATTCATTCGAAATGAAGAATTCAAATATGTTAGAGCCCTAGGTGCTTATTATATGCGATTAACAGGCACTTCCCTTGATTGCTATAAATATTTGGAACCTTTATATAACGATAACAGAAAATTAAGAAGACAGAATAGGCAATCTGCCTTTGAATTAGTTCATATGGATGAATTTATCGATGAACTGTTACATGAAGAACGAATATGTGATGTGATACTACCAAGGATACAAAAACGTCATGTGCTTGAAGAAAATAATGAAATTGAACCAAAGATATCAGCTCTTGACGATGATCTTGATGAAGATATACCAAGTGAAGATGAGAAGATGGAAGAAAGCACAGTAGTAGAAAAAATAAGTCAATCTTCAGTAAAAGATAAAATAACCGAAACGAAACAGTCAAGTAAAAAGAGACACAGATCAAGAGAAAAAACTGATCGCAACGATGAACGCATTTCTCATCGCAACAGGGAGAAAGACAGATCTCGAAGTAAAGAGCGCAAACGAAATCGAGATCATGAAAGAGAAAGAGAAAGGGAAGCACGACATGCACGTTCAGATGATCGTGAAAGGACTAGACGGGAATCAGATAGAAGAGATAGAGACAGAGAACGAGAAAGAGAACGTGAGCGGGGATCCAGAAATAGAAATCGATATTAACATTATACATATTGATAGTTTAATTTTTTTCATTTAATACATTTGTCATATTTTTATAAATACATCCTAATGTATTTATTTGGTTCATTTATTTTTGTACAATCCCGTCACATAAACAATGAATACACATTGTCAGTAAAAATTAAGGACAAAACTGAAACAAGTATATTTCCTCCAATTAAAATTTGAAACCTAACTTTTTTTATATGAAATTAAAGTTCAAGCTAAAGGTGAAGCACAAAATACCTTAGGAAACAAAAACAAAATCAGTAACTTATGTGCTTCTCATTGCTTGTGTCTTTTCTTGCAAGTCATTTTAATAAATTTAATAATTATTTTGCATTCATCTCCTAGATCATGTTTGTATAAATGTCCTAGAACCACAACCTTTATGAAACAATATATTAAAAATAGTATATGCTCAAAATACTAAAATAATTATTGCCAATTGTATCATATAATATGGTCTCTAAATGTTGAAACAATCATTTAATAATTGCTAGTCCTATCATATCATATCATGGATATTTAATTGATGGCTGTTAAATTTGTAAATAATTCAGATGCTTTAAACAAAAAATCTAAATAGGAGCAAAACTGGAACTTAAAAATAGATTAGTTTCGCAACGACAAAATTAAATAATTTTAGTTCTTTAGTATTATCGTGCGGTGGACAACATAATGCATATTTTGCAAAAACCATATTATACTATCGCACAATATTCAATAAAATGCATGTAAAGTTTACTTTTTAATGTTTTTCTGATTTTCTAAACACTATTCCTAGACAAGACATAAAACACTCTTGATTTATTCGTAATTAACACCTTAACACAACTGAGAGAAAGGTTTTAACAGGATTTTAAACTTGACAGAAGTTTGTTATTAAGCAATACATAGATTTACAAAAAAATTCAGTTAGAGCCTAGTATTCAAGTTCACAAATATCTTTTTTTAATTACGTAGCTTGCGCCGTCTACAGCCGTGAACCGTCTACATCCTTCCATGTAGAATGTGTACTCTTTACAGATATGGTTATTTATCTATGCCCTGCAGTTTTTTCGACTATGAAATGTCAACGGGGTTTCGAAGTTTATTATAGGTTTGAGAAGTTAAGCTTATATGTAACACTTTAAATTTGTTAAAATGTCAGAGCCTAGTTCAAAAGAATCTGCAACTAAAATACCTATGGTATATGTTTGCGGAGGTAATGATTTACAGAAATAGCATATACTACTTTTTCTTTCGTATTACTAACCTTAAATTTTTAGAGTGTCACAACGAGAACGATATAAAGCCGAAGGATCCTATTCGTTGCCGTGAATGCGGATACAGAATAATGTACAAGAAACGCACTAAAAGATGTATCCTTTTTAACTTTATCCCAAATAAAATTAGTCAAATAATATGGTCTTAATAGGGTTAAGTTTTCCATGTGAGATATTTACCTTAATGCACCTATAGTGGTTGTATTTGACGCCAGGTAATTTTAAGAAGCGGAAGAAGATTTGAAGATTTGATTGAATTTGAAGATTAAAACAAACAATGTAAAGATCATTTTATTTGTTATACAAATAAACATCATGACTGTAAATAAGTAAATAAATACATTTGCTAGCATTACATCAGTAAAATATACAATGTGCTCTATTTTACTTTTATGGAAGACTTTAGAATCTGTAGGGCATTGTATTTCTTGTATTGATTGTTTTTACAGAATTGTTTGGATCCAGAAGATTGTTTTCTGATTGGCTACCATTTATAATAGTAAACTTTAAATAATTTATCATTGAAAAATAAGTCAATTTTCACTATAAATTTATTATTTCATATTTCTTTATAGCACTTTCTTACATAAAAATATAAGTTCATTGACTGATCATGAAATCATTCAGTACTGCCAGTCTTCTTAATCATCACACATTTGTATGTAACAATTCATATTACATTTAATATCTAAGGATAATTTAAACATTTTATTTGACTGTATGCCATTCTAAATAACAATATAAATTCTCTATTTGAAAGCCATTTTGATTGGTCATGTGCGGGTACACCAGCTAGGTTGTTTAATGATATGAAAATTTTACAAATTTGAGTCAATCACAAAAAATATTGTTCAGTCATTAAACATAACAATGATAACGATGAATTTGTATACAAATATATTCATATATATATATATCAATATTCGAATTTTAAGCAATAGCCGTAAAAGATAGTTTTATGAACTGATTAATTTTGCAAATTGAAAAATGAAAATTGGCAGTGAACATACGGAATTGAAAATTTGGTCAGATTATTACATTGCAATAAATACAATTTTTGTATCATTATAATGTCGGATATTCATTCCTGCCAGAATAATTTTAATAAATTGCTTCAAAATGAAATGGCTACTAAAATTCAAATACAATTTCATATTTTCAGTGTGTATTGGAGGAACATGCACAAATTTCTAATCTTTATAAAATCAATACAAATGTAAAATATTTCCAATATATATATATATATATATATATATATATATATATATATATATATATACTAAACTTGCATAATTCAGAATGTTTCTTACAGATTTTTCTTCTGGAAAATAAATTCAAAACCAATAATTCCAATTGCGGTATATAGGCACGGTATTAGTTATTTTATAGTACAATTATATCAACACACAAACATATTTTAAAACATTCATTGATCTATAGTACATATATACACATAAACCACATAAATATATTTATGTATAAGTAAATATGTGCAGAACATAATTATGTGTATATATACATATGTAGAAACATATCCACATGTAAAAATGTACACATATATATGTATGTATATGCATATAACTTGTATAATGCAATATATACACATAAGCATACACTTCTCTAAATATATACCAACACTTGTTATGTACATTATTAACACATTAGAATATATGCATATGCTCATATATATATATATATATATATATATATATATATATAATGTGTGTGTGTATATATATATATACAAATGTTTCAAAATGTTTGAATCGGAATTCTTGGTTTTAAAACTTTATTTGGCTGCAGCATCCTAATAAGATAATTACTCAATTGAGGTTTAAATTTACGCTTCAAGTCAATGTGAGTATTAGTCAATGGGCTAATAAATATGATATAAATAAGTGGTTTAAAAATTCATACAAAGTTCTAAAATTAAACATTAAGAACAAACCTTAGAAGGATATTAAAACTCACTCTATACATTTCAATTTAATGGTAATTAATATTATATTGATTTACTAAATAATAATTAAGATAGTGCTTAATTTTGAAATAAAATTTGTCTATTATTAAAATTAAAAAAATATCTCTCAAAACGTATAAAAATCTTTAAAGAATTGAAAAAGAGTAATTATTTCATTGGCATATAGCTGAATATCAAAAACATCAATATATATATATATACATATATACACACACACACACACACACACATATATATATATATATATATATATATATATATAAGTATGAAATATGAACACACAGCACTCTTTTTTGCACTATTTATTAAGTATTTGAAATTTTACAAACGTTTTGAGACTCAGTTTATCTCATCATCAATGTAAAAATTTTATCTATTTTTATAATATTAAATTAAATATCTATCTTTATATTTAATTTTAATCACTAAAATCATGGTCCTAAGTTGTGCATCGGATTACAATGCTCTTGTCCATATTTTAGTTATCAAATATAAAATTTTTACACTGATGATGAGACAAACTGAGTTTCAAAACGTTTGTAAAATTTAAAATATCTAAAAACAAGTGTTGCGAGTTCATATTTCATAGTTAATTTAATATATATATATATATATATATATATATATATATATATATATATATATATATATATATATATATATATGTATATGTGTGTTGTATTGAATATAAAAAAGCAATAAACATGAAGAATGTGGCTGGTTGGTTTTAACTGTTGATTAAGTTAAATTGTGTTAAGAACATACAAAATTGTTGTATTTTCCACAAGTATATATAAAAAATATATAATAAAAAAAAAGAGCTCGCACTGGCTGTCTAAAAAAAATGAGCCCACCCATCAAAAATTTGCTTCCGACGCCACTGTATATATATATATATATATATATATATATATATATATTTTTGTAGAGTTTCGAACAACAATCCAAAAATAATACAAAATAAAAAAACAAGAAAAGTTTTTAATAAACAATTTCTTTATTTAATTATTTGTTTACTGTCAACGTTTCGGAACTAGGTACGTTCCATCTTCAGGACATCTGTCAAGAAACATGATCTTGATAAGATTTAAGCAAACAATATGTTTAAGAATAGAAAATAGATTTTTCTTAAATAATAAATTAATTGTAACAAATAATAATGTACAGAAATATGATAATATGATCAAAATGAAAATGATAAAAATAAATGAGTGGATTATCAGAACAGGATATTAAAAATGATAGAAATTTTTTGAAAGTTATGGAAAAATTTTTTAAGAAAGGATTAATGATAAAATTGAATTAATTAAAAAAAAATTTTTCCATAACTTTCAAAAAATTTCTATCATTTTTAATATCCTGTTCTGATAATCCACTCATTTATTTTTATCATTTTCATTTTGATCATATTATCATATTTCTGTACATTATTATTTGTTACAATTAATTTATTATTTAAGAAAAATCTATTTTGTATTCTTAAACATATTGTTTGCTTAAATCTTATCAAGATCATGTTTCTTGACAGATGTCCTGAAGATGGAACGTACCTAGTTCCGAAACGTTGACAGTAAACAAATAATTAAATAAAGAAATTGTTTATTAAAAACTTTTCTTGTTTTTTTATTTTGTATTATTTTTGGATTCTTGTTCGAAACTCTACAAAATATACACAAATCCAAGACTCTACCATTCAATATATATATATATATATATATATATATATATATATATATATATATATATGTAGCTATGTGGTTCACCAAACAGTAAAAAGTACATTGTAATTTAGTTCATCTGGCATCTATCCCTGTTTAACAAAGCAACACTAAATCATTTTTCAATCAACAAAACCTTTTTTATTTTGGCGATTCAAATCTAACATTTTGCTGACCGTCAAAGCAATAAAACAAATTGAATGAAGGCATAAACAAAATACAATTATAAATGCATTACTAAGCATAGAAATAACAATCCACGATGAATTAAAAATGAATAAATAAGCTAAATGTTGTTTCTTTGTGTAATGCTTCTAATGTATAGTTGTATATATCTATTTTAACACTCGACAATAAACAATTTGTAATGTTTATTACTTGCATAAAAATCTTATTACTACTATTTTTTATTCTATTTTTTAGTTTTATTGCCCTGATGAGGAGAAAAATGTAATGGTCAAAAAGACTACAGAATAAAGAAAAAGTTAAATTTGAATAATTTGGATACTTTTTTATGAACTTGATAGCTTGATAACTGATAAACTTAATGGAATCTTACTATTAACTATGCAAATATTCCTTGTAATTTATTACTTTTTTATATTCAATAAATTATCTGTGATTATTTCTGAAATTATATATATATATATATATATATATATATATATATATATATATATACAAGTGAATTTATATATGCATACATGTATGTTATATATGTATTATAACTATATTGATTATAAAAGATTTGTGTGTTGGTTAATACTGGTCTAAAACTACTGAAACATTATAAAGCTTTAATTGTTTAATTATTCAAGACTTTATAGACACATATACAACTCTTTATATATTATTATCTGAAAGATTGCGCAAGGAAACTGATCCTTTTGCCATGGAATGTAAAAATACATCATGCGCTGTGAACACACACAAATTATATGATATAAGTTCCGTTCCTGTAGCAATGTATATATATATATATATATATATATATATATATATATATATATATAAATTATACACATTCATATAACCCATTGTAAGAACATGGCACACATTGTGATAATGGTTTATCCCCCCTTTGTTTTATATTTAATCTTGTGTTAGTGTTGAATTATCAACTTGTACTACCGTGTAATTTGCATTTTATGAATATGTATATGTGATTGTTTGCTCGCAATCATATTCCCAATCAAAGGTCATGCACAAATAATCTTCAAACACATACTCTTATAAATGACAAATACATTTTGCTCCTTATTGATAAAATATCAAATAGTCAAGACCAATAATGAGTTACAATTTCATGAAAATATTTAATAATATTATATATGGCAAAATAACATCTTAATATATTTTTATCTAATTTGAAGTACCACAATATATGTTATATTAAAAAGAACACAACACATCATATCATAAGTAGTAAATAATTACAAATCTTTCTCTAATAAATATTTCATGGGCACGCACTATATAATCATCTATAAAAAAAGATTCTTCTTATAATAATCTACATATTTCATTTCATTTAATCACATTTGAATTTTTTTTTAAATAGAGTTAATTTGGCACTAACTGTCACTGACTTTACATCGTTTGCTATCAATTACTTTGCCATATAAATCTATTTCATCACACTTTCTTTTTATATCACTATTAAAGGATGAAGAAACATTCATTAGTGATGTTTCAATTCCTTGCGAATTATGTTCAGTATATACATGCACTTCCAGTTCTTTAATAGTCTCAAAACTACCTTTGCAGATGCTGCAGCTATTAAAATTGTCCACTGTTTTCAATGAATTTTTAAGAAATTCTTCTGAAGAATTCTGTGGACTCATTGGTTCACCTTCACTATCACTATCACCGCCAGCCGGTAGTATTGGTGGAGCCATTATGGCGGGATTCCAAGTTCCTTGTTTGTTAGGATCTTTTTCATGCAATTTCTGTGCAAGAACTTGCAAACTAGCTAAAGAGTTATCACAGTCTGTTGTATCAATATCAGTTAGACTGACTCCGGCCCTTTCAATCTCTGCGTATGTTCCAAATGGCAATTTACCTAAACACTCCAATCGCATAACATGCATTTTGCTTCTCAAATGCTTAGCTAAGTGGCCATGAATTCTGAATGCAATCTTACAATCAGAGCAATTAAAAGGTCTTGGATTTGATGTTGTTGGAGCCCCAAAAGTTGATGCCATAGATACTTTGTTATGGTGGGAAACTGATCTTTCATGCTTTTGTAAATGACCTTTAGTTCGAAAACTTACAGCACAAGCCTCACAACGAAATGGTCTTTCAAAATAGTGAATGTTGATATGCAACCTTAGCTGAGAAGGCTTTGAAAATGTTTTAGAGCATATGAAACATACAGATCTTCCATCTTCTGTAACTCTGCCGGCTTGGAACTGACTTCCAGGAGAAGGAAACTCATTTGGTGAACCTGCTAGTTTAAAACTCAAACCTCCAGCCCCTACAACTACTTTTCTTGCTGGCATGTGCTCTGACATCTGTTTTTGATCAATTTGTTCATTGGAATCTAAAATATCATTTTGCGTTGTATCTAATATATTATCATTATTTGATTTTGTTAATATTTCTAATTTTGATGTTCCAATATCATTTTTTTCTTCGAATAATTCATTATTTTTCGATTTCTCACTGGTTATTTTAAGATATTCAGATGCAACAATTTTAGCATTATCAGTTGCACTTTTGACACTATTTGTAGTATCTGATTGATTGCTAGTATTGTTATCAATATTTGTTTCTAATTTTGAAGAACACGCAGCAATTTCAGCTAATGTATCTATACCAGATTTCTCAACATTAGATATAGATAATAATTGTGATTCACTGATACCTGATGGTTTTCTACATCCAACCAAAGATTCTCGAGTTAATACAACAGAAGTTGTTGCAGCTGAACATGAAGCAGGCGCTAACCTACTGGCTTCACTGGCATTATCCACTGTTTCAGCAAATCTAGACATTTTTTTGTTATGTAAATCTTCGGCATTAAAAGTTGTGCCACTAACTTGAAACCGATTGTTAGTATATTGGCTCTGTTTAATTTTTGTTTCTTGCAGTGCTTTTTCTGTTAAATAAGCATGAAACATAATTTCATCACTAACTTTTGTAATATTTGGTTTATATGATTTACTTGCACTAGTTACTAGGTTCGTAATTACTTTCATTGGCTCATTATCAGTTTCATTTGAAATGATATTAGTATTTCTTAATGATGATTTAGTGGTGAAATCTATTTGCATTTTATCACGAGGTTTAGTTAAATCAATTGGTTGAAAACCATCTGGTGTCAGTTGTTGATCATAATAAACATTATTGACTGATTGGTGATTAGATATAATGACACTATTTTGCCTTATTGAATTTATAGTTTTAGCATATTTAAATGGCATTGAAGAAGCAACAGTAACCATTACAACACTATTATCATCAATTCTCTCATTGTTACTTCTTACATGAGTTTTATCTTTTGAAACAAGTTTTTCACTATTATCTTTAATAGTAATGATTGGTAATTGATCTTTAGAAGATTGATGCAAATTCTTAGAAATATTATTCACATTTTTCTCAAGAATTATTTTCTCACTGGCCTCAATTAATTCTAATTTCTGCAGTTCATAAGGATAGGTACATGGTCTATTGGAGGAAATCAATCCGGGTGTAATATGTGATGTTTGTTTCTCAGTAATAATGTGGCCAGAAGATAAAGACAACAGACAATGAGCGGCTTCATGCTCCGGCAATCTTGATTTAGACTCATCAGTATCTATGAATTATTCAATGTATTTTTTTATGATATCAAGTTTGTAAATTATTAATTATTTCATTACAAATTAATTTGCAAGAGTATTTTTTTCAAAATGGCATGAATGTATTTAATATATACATAATTTAGTATGCTTCAAAACCATATCTTATTATATACTAAATACTGAAATTTATTGGAACGTGATAAATATAAAATTATTGATTGTACGTATGGCATATTTTTTCTGTATATCTCCAATATACATTACAATAGCTCTGAACAAACAAGAATATGTTAATTATAAACAGTAAATTTTTTTTTTATGTATGTTCTATCATTTATCTAATATTTTATGCATACCACTTGACTCTGTTTCCCCTTCGTTCCCCTCATCGGCATCAGTATCAGTCTCACTATCAGAGTCTCCAGAGACTCCAACAGATTCACAGAAACCCCCTGCAGGATCCACACAGTCATCTTCCTCAACAGAAGTTGGTATTGGTTTAATGCCTAGTTCTACACATTTCTTATAATGAGCTTTGCTCTTCATATGTTTTGTTAAATTCCCTTTGGTTTTAAAGCTATGAATTAAAAAAAAAAAATTAACTAATGTGTGATGGTAAGATGTTAGGAATTATATTGTATTATAAAATAAATTTTATGATAATAAGTTTATTTGAAGTTATAATAATACTTCGAATGTAAACTATAGGAAATTGTCTTGTAAAATTATTCTAAATGCTTAATAAAAAAAAAACTTCATTTTGTCATTTAAATATAAAACATAAATATATGATCAATTATATGAACTTGTAGCGTTGTATAATGAGATAAACTTAAATGATACATTTTAATACAAGATTAATAGCTCTAATTGACAAAAAAAATATAAGCTATATTTTCTTTAAGTTTATATAATAATACTGTGATTACGAAATTATGTAATACAGATTGTAGATTTAAGGATTTTTAATCTACAGGCCTTTGATAAGTGATTAAATAAATAAGCGATGGAATTAAATAATAACTAATGGAATTAAATAATAAATAATAAACATTGTCAATAAATATCTAACCTGAATGCACAGTGTCTACATGTAAATGGTCTTACATCAGTATGCGTACGTGCATGCTTTTTTAACATAGAAGGCTTCTTGCATCGTATGCCACATTTTGAGCACACATATTTTCCACGTCCTCTGCCCCTAACATAAGTATATTCCTCATGGCTTTCAAATCCTTCGGACAAGTTAAGTTCAGATTGTTTTTGATCAATTTCCTCGGAATCATTCAACTCACTTGTTTTGAATACATCACTGTTATTCATACCCTACATAATTTAAATATTATTATATACATTTATTAAATAAATATGCAAATCATAACACTATGCATGCAAATGATTCAGAGTGCAATTCAGCTAATATACTATATTAGATTACAACAATTTTTCAGAAGAAAAAATTCATGAAACCTATTACACAATCTGTTTATCAACGATCCAAGACAAACCATACACCTTTATAAGAGCAACCCAAAAGGCTTAAGCTGTCATACCCAATATATGTCCAGATTTTAACTGCATTTAATAGCATTTACATTCAATAAAAAATTGTGTTAATTTTCTGACGGTACTAAACTGTGCATTGAAGATCTGCAGTTACCTGACTCTTAACAGCATTTTTATCAAGCCAATATGAAGAGTGTGTTAAAACATCATCAACAGTTCTTGGTTTTGCAATTGATACACGCTGTGGACGATGTCTAGAATCATAAAGAGCCATAACTTCAACAGGCGTCATTTTTAAAGGATTCGGACATGCCTCTGAGCATACCTAAAATTATATTATGAGTAATTAAATTCAATTTAGTTACTTCAGCGTACTATAGATGACTTACTCTCCAATTGCTGTACATTGATAGTGTATGCTGATTTGCCACATACATCGGTTGTAAACGATTCAATGTACAGTAATATGCTTTTGTTGAGCATTTAAGACCAAGATATGTGTAAGCATGTCCATTAAGATATAATTGGCCAAATGCTTTCGCTGGTCTTGGAGTTTCGGGTGAAATCAATGGCAGTGTGTGAGCATTTGGAGTTATTCCATGATGTTTCTTTGGTGTGAATGTACCAGGTTTCAATGGCAGAGAGGATGGTCGTAAGAATTTACTTTTACCTATTTCAGCACTGTTTCCAGAAGAGTGCATATTCTTTCTAAAGTACAATGTTTCCATAGTTCTAGAGTTGGATTGAACATTTGTACATAAATTTGTACTAGATGTAATATTAAAACTCTTTGCAATGATCTTTTCTTCAATGTAACTACGATTACTAGCAGTATCCAAAACGGGCTTGTTTAATATCTCTGACTTTGATATCAGATTTTCAAAATTAAAATGTCGCTCCTCTGAAACTGGTATTGTTACATCAACTGTTGCATTCACATTTTTGTTATTTAACCGTTTTTTTTCATTATCATTCACTTGATGATAGTTTATTGAACAATCTCCATTAACTTTTGATTTATCTGTCGAGGACATTTCTTTATTCAATTCTACTTGTGTATTTGAAGACACAACCATTTCTAAGCTTTTGCTTTCATAACAATTAGCAATATTTGAAAACCCATTTTGATTTACCGAATGATTATTAAGAAGTGTGTTGTAATAGTTATTTTCCAGTTTTAATTGATCTGTATTAATAATTGGAATGGATAAGTTAATTACATTTGAAGGAGTAGCATTAGACGAATTGATGGTATTTATGGACGCAGTAGAAAGTTTAGAAAAACTATTTGCCAATGAGACACTTAGTTGTGGACTTGAAGTTTTTGGTAATCGAGGACTGGTTGCTGGACTTGCTCTTACCCTGTAATTTTTTTTGAGAATTATCAAGAAAACAATCAAAATAAACACACACACACACACACACACACACATATATATATATATATATATATATATATATATATATATATAGTGTGTGTGTGCGTGTTACTTTTTAACAATGTGATAAAAAATCAATATATGTACATGTAAAATATTTTGTGTTAGCTATATCATATTCAAGTATAAATGTAAATAGTTTTATAAACAACAAATTAACCATTGGCGATTAATTCAAACCAATATGTCGTTTCTAAATTTTAAAAAAAATTCCGTCAAGTAAATATATACAAAAAAAAAGAATATATGGAAAAAAAATCCATGCGCAATATTTAATCTGAGACATAATATTAAATTAATTATAAACATAGTTTTATTAAAACTCACCCTGTAGCATTATATTCATTCGTACTCAATGTATTTGGTCCTGGAATTCCAGGAACAAAAGGTATGAGCCTACCACCATGAACAATTGTTTGGGGACCTGAGCTACATTCTTGAGGTATTTGAATAGGCGGAAATCGAAAATGCGTAATGTTGGGCGCAACATCCGGAGCGGAAACGTTAGGCTGGTGTGGGGTGATGGGGCCTTGCTGTTTCTTACTTGGCGTCAGCGGAGTTAGGGGCGCAATATGCACAGTCGATGGAGGGTTATGCAACATTGTACCACCAGAGTGTAATCCGGACCGCACTACTATACGACCTGCAAATTGGCGGCGGTTAAGATCAGACAACTTAAAAATGATATTTCAACAGATAAATTACCATTATTATTATTGTATACAACAAATTATCTCGTTATTTTAGTATAGAAAAATTATTTTACATATTCTAATAAAATGTATATTTCTAGTGTACTACCAACCATATCAAAAATATAATATAATTATACTCAATACTCACATTCATATTTACTAATATATATATATATATATATATATATATATATATATACAGGGTGGTCCTTAATATAGACATTTTCGAATTTTTATGCTCCCAGGGGCTCAAACGCTTCCAAATTGACAGTCTCTAAAAGTTTTAGCTTTTAATATTACCTTTTAAATAGTGCGCAATTCAATCAAAGCTTCATATGGAAATAGCGAGAAAAAAATTTTAAAAATTTTAAAAATGTTTTTTAAGTATAACTTAGCGACAAATAAATTGAAAGTGACAATTCGTGTCATCTTCTATTGAAAATTCGACGCTCTACAAAACAGGTTTTTATAATTTGTTTTGAATTTTGCATAAAACTCATTCATTTGTTCGCTAAGTTATATCTAAAAACAATTTTAAGATTTTTGCAAAATTTCCCATGCTATTTCCATCAAAACTTTGGTTGAGTTACTAACTAAAAGACAATATTAAGAGCTAAAACTTATAGAAGATTTTTTTTATCAATTTGGAAGCATTTAAGCCCCTGTGAGCACAGAAATTTCGTTTTTATATATAAACTACAAATTTATATATATACAGTATAAGTTCCTTATCAGCAGGAAAACGTTCCATAAATATGACGCAAATAAAGAATCTGTGAATGGTAATTTATTTGGCTTTGACAAAATATATAACAAAATAAAGAAAAATAAATAAATAAAAAAATATTTTTAAAAAATCATTAGTTTTTGAACATTTTTATTAATTATGTTCAGGCTACAGCAATGGTTTGGAAAACTTTGTAATGTTGTCTTGCACAGCAGTTTTCAATTCAAACTGATACTTTACAAAATTACGCTTTCTTCAATAGATGGATCAATATTTCTATAGAAATTGTACAGATCGCTTGCCCCATTTGGCTAAGATTTTAAAAATTAAATGTCACGTTTCTATTGCTTCTTCAATAGATTGGGAATGAGGGTTTCATGTGGGTTTGAGACAAATTTTACTAAAAATATATTTTATTCATTGAGTAATAAATAAGGTTGTTCTCATTCTGTATGTTTACATTCGCTAAAACACCGAAGGCGGTTTATGCCAAAGTTTATTTTATTAGTTCAAAATGATGGTATTTACCAAGGATACTGGGTTTGATATATATTGGAATCCGTGAATAACAAAATTTGCAATAGCAAAAATAGGTATTGGTTAACAAGGTTTTTATGCGCGAATAAGGAACTTCTACTATATTCAACTTTTGAACTTAGAAAATTCATTTAGGCATTATTGATTTTACTGTAATCATTTCAATTATTATTTCGATAATAAAAGTGTAAAGCTATTAAATTTGTCATTACGTTACATTGTCAAAAAATTTGAATTTAATATGTTGGACTTTAAATAATTTTCAGTAAAGCAACCTGGTGTTTCTGGTCCAGAACTGGTAGGTGTAAATATTATCGAGGCGGGCGAATTCTGAGCACTCGACGGTTCAATTCTCAGAGTTTTTGTCTCCCCACTAGCATCATCGACAATACGAACTTCGCCGCCAAACATTTGCAATGAGGAAGCAGCGGTACCCAACTGTAATTGATATAAAATCAAATTTATTTATTTTTATTTCGTACATTTTTCTTCCAACTCAGAATTAATAACGTACGCATTTTTTATGTAATAAAATTTTATAGCACAATATAATTTTCATAATATTACTTGTCATGATTTCAGCATTATGGTAATGAGGCTACTCTGCTTTAAATTTTCTAGGGCAGAAAATCACCAGATTTTTTTTTATTTATTGGTACAAAGAGGTTGAAAACCATTGTTTTATAATGTTTAAAAGTTTTAAATGGCTTGAATGTAATTCTTTATATCAGATATGTTATTTTTGAACATGGCTAATGAAAGGTCATAACTGTCTTCACATACAAAAAGATACTTTTTTGCTATAATCAAAACCATTTCATACCTGTTGCTGTGATCTGAGCAGAGGCGATGAGCATAAATCTTCAAGTGAACGGAGAGTTGGTGGTACAACCATAATATCAGCCCGAGAACGCTTTGGAGGCGGAACCCCGTCGTTCGCAACTAATCGAGTACTACCTAATAAAACAAAAATCAAAAATAATTATTCACTTATAATTAGATTAAATCTATATACAGTGATACCTTGCTTTATGTACTTAATTCGTACCGGGAGAAAGACCGTTGTGCGAAAAGTTCGCTATGCGAAACGCTCTTTTCCATACAAGTACATGAAAATAAAATTAATGTGTTCTGTAGTTTGAAATGTGGTCATAGAAAATAAGATATTTTTCATGATAATTAAGATATTAAAAAAATATTACTTATTTACGAAATAAGTTATACCAGAGTCGTATTGCTTCCTTTTGTGCCCTTTTAGCTTCTGAATTTTTAAAGAAACTGTCGATAGTTTTTTTCCAACAAGTATATTTTCACAGCAGAGCAAAAATTTCCAAGGTCCACTGTTTGAATTAATTTGAGCAACATATGTTTTTTTACTACAAATGACAATGATTTAGTAGAGACCGAAAAAAAGATTGTGATGCGCATCCTTCATTGTGCGAGGCATATGTTATGCGGGGTATCACTGTATAAATAAAAATAGATGTATGTCTGTGTGTGTGTAATTGTTATGCATTCATAAACCGTACATCCCATCGCCGTGAAAATTTGGGAAATTGTTAGGTAAATCTCAAGACAGGGGGTTGGCCGCCCCGAAAACATTATAGTAATTATGTCTTTTTTAATTAATTGGTAATTAGTTGACTAGCAGACTAGTGGACTGATGGATAGGTATATTCAAGGATATATAAAATGGTGGACAGGACAATTGGTAGATAGCCATGTAGAACAGGATGACAGGTACATTGGTAGACAGGTACATTGTGGAATAGGTAAACCGGTAAAGAGGTGGAGAGACAGATCATCATATATACAGGTAGACTGGAGGACAGATGATCATATATACAAGTAGACTGGAAGACAATAAACTGGTACACTAGATGTAACAAATATGCTTTTTGTTTCATATTTGTCTAATGCAGAACTGTTAGATGAAATAATAATGCATTTTAATTAACATAATTACCCAACAAAGGACCTGGTGAAGGTAATGGTGTAGAAACTTTATTCCCTTCAAAGTCAGGTGGTACAATTTTAAGGTCACCAGGTTTGTGCCCACGCCGGTTGTTTGCAGGAGCTTTTAAAGTAGACGATGCGAGTTTAGCAAGTGTGTTTGGGTTGTAATACTCGGGCAATTGCACATTCACTGATCTACTTCTCTGAAAACCGACTGCTGGGTTGATTTCACCTTTGCAGTAATATTGTCGATGAGTTTCAAGATTATCAGCGCCGCGAAATGAAATTCTACAAAGTGGACATGTATACTGTGATCCTCCTCCAATGCCCAGATCCTCTGGAATGTCGCCCAGCATGAATGGAGCATCGCCTCTAGCGCGCGCTTTTAAGAGTAAGTCTTTGATAATAGAGCCTTCTGGATTTTGTGGATGCTGATCTAATCTTAAGGCATTCGGTTGGGTTTCGGAATATCTTCGCTGACGCATTCTTTCTCTATGCGGTTCATTAGCAGTACTAGCGGGTTTAGTTAAGTTTAATGGTTGTTGGTCGTTGCGTAAAAGAGCATTTGCTAATTTTGAAACTACAGGTGCAGTGTTGTTTGTCATATTATTAATTTTACCTAAAATAATTTATTAAATTATTTCAATAAGTAATCATGCTAATGATATATATACTTTTTGCATTTTGATGGTCATACCAAATTAGTGTTTCTATAATAACGGAAGTATAAAAACATATTTTTAGCATATTAAGTAAAATCCTTCGATATTACATTCAGACATTGTATCTTTCATAATATGTTATAAAATCTTCAATTGACTCAGTGTTTTTTCTTGATACAGTTATGATTTTAAATTGCAGTTATAAATAAATAAATACATAAACTATGTAAATAAATAAATAAATTGCAGTTATAAATACATAAACTATTAAAAAAGTAATACTACATTTATTCAATATTGTATATAATTATTTATAACCTACCAAAGTGTTCTAAACATTACATTTATAATTTATAAATAACTTACCATATTTACGTTGAAGTAAAGGAGGCTCTACAACATCTACTATAGCCTCATTTTGTGATATGATCTTAGATATGCGACGGGTCAATGAATCTGCTTCTGAAGTAGATTGGTTAGATGCAGAAGTGGCAAACTGGATACCAGTTACCATGTTCATAGAATTCACTGCATTAGTAGAGTTAACAGAATTCATAGACATGAACGAGTTTGTTGAATTGACTGAATTGACAATAGTCGTTTCTGCATGTTCACTATCGTCCCTGTTAATATATGATTAAAACATAATAGTTATTGAATTATTCTTTACAAATAAATCAATTTATTAATTTGATTGATTTTGTAGTTAATTTTGATGCTGATATGTATAAGTAAGTACTTTAAGGGCAATACATCAAACAAAGAAAAAACATAATATAATATAAATCTTTGTAAATATGTATATATATATATGTATATATATATATATAGGGTTGTCCTTAATATGGATGCTTTCGCATTTCCTTGCTCCCAATGTTTCCAAATTGATAAAAAAAAATCTCAGAAAGTTTTAGCTCTTTATATTAACTTTAAGATAGTCCAACCAGAGTTTATATGGAAAAAACATGTCTGAAATTCCATTTGTTTTTTAACTTAGCGACAAGTGAATCAAAATTTTGAGAATAACATTGTATTTGCTTATTTTGAAATCAAAAACTTACATAAAAAATTTGATGTACATATTTTATAAAATAAGTGTTTACTTAGGAAGAAGAGCCAAGAAACTTTGATTGGTGTGCGGGCTATCTTAAAGTGTATAAAACTGAATGATAAATAGGTTGTATAAACAATACACCTTTTGGCACCATTTAACTAATAAATTGACAAGATAAATCATGACCACTGAAGTGTCATAGTAATCTCATAATGAATTAAGTAAAATTGTTTTATGATCATAGTTGGAAAAATACTGGTTGTGTATGCATAAATGCAGCGAAAGAGTATTATCTATTATTAATTATATTATTCAAAACCAATAAAGAATTCAATTAATTATACTTTCATTTTTGTATGCATACCTATAAAGCGCAGCTTTGTGAAACTTAGGTTTGTAAATAGGAGTTTTCGCGGTTATTGCAGTCGTTGATATGATGGCAGATATAGGAACAGTGACAGTTGGAACAATTGTGGACGGTGGCGGTGTTTCTGGCGCCCCCTCAGAAGCATTAGAGGAAGACAAATCAGCATCTGAAGCATCCTCCTCTGCCGTTCCACTGCCGCATCTTGACCGTTGATAATGTGCTCGTGATCTAGAAATTCAACACTGATAAATCAACTGTCGCAATTCAATCATTTAATAATCTTCTAACAATGCAAGATAAAAGGTTACATTCTTGATAAAAATAAAGCGTTCAGATAAATACAGATGGTTGCTCTTATGTTAAAGAGAGTCTATATCTAACCTGCGATGCTTGTACAGATTGCTTTTGGTTTTGAAAGCAAATCCACATGGTTCGCATGGATATGGTCTTTCGTTCGTGTGAGCCCTGATGTGTTTTTGCAGGACGGAAGGTTTTGCACAGGCTAACTTGCAGTATGGGCACACATGACGGCCACTCTGACCGATAGGGGATGCGCTTACATCAAATGTCGACGACTCTCGATTTGAATTTTGATCAGAACCTATGTGAACATAATGCACTTTTAGATAAAAATATGTGACAAATAAATAGCTTTGTAAGGACAATATCAATATTAATAACTTTTAATAAATCAAAAAACATATTCCCAAAAATAAGTGCCGGAGGGCTAGGCAGTGCTACGCAAAAAAGTATATAAAAGATTGAATAAGCTAGAATATGAAAGTAAAAATAATGTATGTAAAACGTAATTATGTACGTTTCATATTCAGGACATCTGTGATCTTGATTAAGAGATAAACAAACTAAATTAATATAAAAAATAAAAATTATTGAATTATAATATAGATTATAAAATTATAAATGAGTGTAACTCAGTGATCTCAATTTCGGCACACAATTTGAGATTTGTATGCATATTGAAATGCATAAAACAGTCATTTCTTATATAAATGAACAAAAATGTACGAACTGTTTATTATTATAAATACTCAATAAGACCATAGATATATGAATAACACACTATTTGTGCCGAGTTTCGAATTTGTCACACACACACACACACACACATATATATATATATATATATATATATATATATATGTGTGTGGTGTGTGTGCGTGTGTATATGTATCAGTAAGTTAATAGTAAGTAATCAGTAGTTTATCTAATAGTATTTGAATCAAAGATTAAATAAAAATAAATATGTTTAATTTACAAATATAATTGATAACCGCACGAGTTAAGAATAAAAAATAAAAATCTTTGTAAAAAACCTGCAGAAGTGATTAAGACTGGTTCTTGGATAGCAGGAGCTGCGCTAGCGCGTTTGAACTTCTTATGCAGGTATTTGTTTTGCAGGTCGGCCGTGTTATTGTTGTCAGCGCAGGTCATGGCTGCTGGTGCTGGCGAACTCGGAGGCACTTGCGTTGGAGCCATTCTGTTGTCCGGATGCGCGATGACAGTTGGGGACTCCTCTTTGATCGGGACTCGTTCCTCTGTTGCAAAAACAAAATTTTAAATTTAAGGTATACTCTAAACTAAAAAGATCACTAAAAATTATTGTGATGTGACCAATTTGGAACCCATTCATAACTATAACAACTATTATGAGGTTGATTTTACGAAGATATAAAAAAACGACTTAACTGTCTTCATTATCGCCAATTTCTTACATTTTCTTGATTAGTCTGAATAGTTTGATTAGTTCTGATTAGTCTGATTGATTCAAATACAGTACTAGTTATAAAAATATGTTTCACTAGGGTTTTTACGCCTTTTCTTGATTTTTAGCCTATTTTAATGTTGTCGTAATAGATAATATCACTTTTTAAATTTGTTTTTAATGAATTTAAATAAATGAATTTCAAGCAAAAAATAGAATGCTTCAACCATACCGTAAATTAAAAGCAACGCTCTAGATTTGCCATCTATACACATAGCTGGCAGAGATAAATATGTCAATTAATTATAATTCTTACAATGTGTATATAGGTAAAAATATTTGGAATGACTAATGAAAATTTTAATCATAACTGCTATACAATAACAGCTTTATAATTTAAATTATAAACAGCGTGAGGTGATATAAATACAAGGTGTCCCAAACTTTGACGTCCAGCCCTAACTGTCCTGAAAAAAATAGAAAAAAGTTCTCTCACGTTGTTTGGTAGTTAAGAGCTTTGGTGAAATTAAGACCAATTTTCGGCTATAGTGGTTAATTTTAGGGTCACAATCAAAAACAATAACACACACGTACATATATATATATATATATAATATATAATATATATATATATATATATATATATATATATATATATCACGTGTATCGAGCGACTTGTAACGAATAACACATAATGCTAATTTAGGTTTCCATATATTAAATTTTAAATTATAACACACTGATGATGAGACAAACCTAGTCTCGAAACATTTGTGAAAATTATTATTTAATAAATTAGTGCAAAAAAGAGTTTTGTTTGTTCATATTTCCAAATTAATAATATATATATATATATATATATATATATATATATATATATATGCGTGTGTATGTATGTATGTACGCAGTTAATATTATAAAGTGGCAGTATCATATTAAAAACATTAAAACACTTTTTATTTAAATTTAAATAATGTGAAAAGGTCATTTTATAACAACTACACTTTTGCTTATCAACGCTTTATCATTATTTAGGTGATTAAAGTATCGGTTTCATCCAAACCGATTCTTTGTGCCAAGTCTGTCATTAAAAGCTTCACACGATAACGTTTTATCTAAATATATATAAATATGAATAACAACGATTCAGTAATTTATTATTATTATATATATATATATATATATATATATATATATATATATGTTCGCGCCAATCAAAGCATGCGGTTATATTGATATATAAACAAAAAATCATCAATCGAAAATCACACAAAAAATCAAGTCAATCAATACGTTATCAAAACCAACATTAAAATTATTATAAATACGAATTTAACTTGTAATCAACATAAAATAAATACATAAATTTACGAATTAAAGTGTTTATAACAAATTTGGACCTTCAAAATTCAATCAAACAACCATTGAAAAAACAATATATATATTAATCTATCCCCCGTTTTACACGGAAAATACATCTCATAAAAAACCGTGCAACCGTCCTAAACGAAAATGACTATAAAAAAGCCCTTTTGTCAGTTTTTAATATGATGAATATCAAACACATTGAACAAAATAAATATAATATTAATATATTTAATATCAAACACGTTTATTTAATTCTAGCCTCATCTATTATTCTCTCATTAGTATGGAGAGGATTCAAAATTTCAATTTTGGTTCGTAAAAATATAACTTTTCTTTTAATCTCTAGCTTTTTATTTTTATCTTTTGCCATATAATTTATAGATTTTGTAAATACATTTTGGAGTGTTGTATTTTGACAGTAAAATAATGAAAATATTATTGTAGATGAAAACATATTATAGTTTAGTGTTCTAATTTCGTGTGAATGCACAATTAATAAATTTCGTTAACAGATTTTTTTTTCAAAAACCGTGTAGGATCGAAAACGAGTAAAACGAGTACAGTCTGTACAGTGTAAAACTAAAAAAAAGATTGCCTCTAGTCCAAACTAAAATCACGATAAACTAGTAGTGTATGGCATCGTGCCTTATGGTATATTGCTAAAACTCCGCAAATATAAGATGGCATTTCATATGGGATTATAAGAGATACGTTCCAAAATAACAAAACAAAGAAAAATAAATATTGTTGACAACTACTGTGCAATAATATGCAAGTATAACAAATCCTATATTAAAATAAATTACTAATAAGTTCAGTATCAAATATAAAACTTTATATCAATTACAATAAATAAGAAATGATTTATAAAAGTTTTATATTAATGTTAAATGTGGTACTAAACTTAAGTTTAGTTAATAATTATTAACAACTAATTTCAGTATGGGATCTGTTATACTTAAGATATTGCAGATTACATAATAGTTCTCAAAAATATATAAAAAGTGATTTTAACTATAGTTTTCGGACATTTTTATTCATTATATTGAGGCTAAGACAATGTTTTGAAGAACTTTGAAATGTTATCTTGCTCGCCAGTTTTTAACGGGTTCTTTAATTCAAACTGATACTCATCAGTCACATCAGCAATTTGCCTCTTAAAAATAAAATATTCCATATACGGGATGAATGTTTCATTGAAATTTGTTTTTTTTTTTTAAATATGAAACAAGATTCTGCAATAAATATTTTTTCCGTGATTTTAATTTGCACTCAAAGCATTGAATATTATCATACAAATTGTAATTAAAATGTGCATTTCCCTGAAGTTCCACATCGAGATTATTGAGATGGTGAGTGATGTCGATAAGAAAGGTATATTTCTTCATATCCCTTTGTATTTCGCTATTTGAGTCCTATACACCTTCAACCCTCCGTCGGTCGGAATGGTCTGTCTAGACCACCCATACATTTTGTATGAAATATGACGCGTTTTGATATATGTAAGCCAGTCTTTTGTCTTTTTTCTGATATTATCTATTCAAACTGCGTTTTATATATTATTATTTACATGACGAGAGTTCCTTGAAAACCTATCAAACTTATTGGTTATCGCAAACATTGAAAATCGGATGAATAATGAGCACATTATCAACAATTTTTCTACCCGTACTGTGTTCGAAACTTTTTTGGTAAACCTGTAGCCGTAAGTATGACGTTCAATTGAAATTATATTTTCACTTTGAGTTTTACAGCTCATTTCAAAGACGACGCACCTCATTTCGTTTTCATTTGAATTTCACATTCATTACGAAGGCGCCGAAGGAAAATAAATATTGTTTTTCATTGATATAAAACAAAGAAATTAACAAAAAAAGTAACAATTTTTTTTTATATTCCATGTTTTTTAAAAAATACAAACAGTAAATTAATGTATGTTAATTTTAATTACATGAAGTTCTTCAAACACAATTGTTACAGGATGAGTGAATTTGCAAAAACAATATTTGTTTAGACGTTGTTTAACATAATCCACTGTGTGAACGAATATTATAGAATTTATTAATCAGCAATTACTTTAAACCGATCATGTCATATTTTAAGTATGACTTTGATTACATTATTGTTTGTAAATATTATACATATTTTTAATGCAATCATAAATATATAATTTATAATTTACCATTATATAAATGTGTATAATGATTGACGACACTAATAAATGAGTGCATCACGAGTGTTACCATATTACTAATAAACATTATTCAAAATTGTTATATGATGTATTTATTTTTACTTAACTTTGTTTTTTTACTAAAATTTGTACAGTAGTAAATAAGTTTAACTTCAATCGCGTGTGATCCTTTCGCGCACTCTTTTTTACCATCAGAAGAATCTCAAGATCTATAAGCCTTAAATAAACTATCTCAATATTATAACATTTTTTCTTCAAGTTATTGTATTAGATAGTACTAATGTTATTGGCTTAATATTGTTGTAGGGTTGTTTTTTACTGTATTTAATTCAATTATGATAATTTAGTTTCTGAAATTACTAAATTTAATCCTGTGTCCGTAATATAAATTAATAAATATAACTACCCTAAATATAACAGGAAGTTAAAAAATGAAAATTCACAATGCAAAATAACTAACTATACAGAATCTGCATACTAAAAACTATATTCATATTTGAACGATTAAATTATAAATCGTATACTGTGACACACTTTAGTATACAATAAAACGATAAGTGAGAATTTATTTATATGAATTTGTCTTCCTTCAAAATTTCATTAGGTATAGAAAATTTAATTGACGCATTGTAAATTATGACTTCATACTAAAATTTTTGTGCTGCAGACGCAGTCGTAAAATGAGAAACTAACTAAATTAATTGACAACCTTGATTCAAACCATCATACAAAATATATGTAAATCATAAATGATGAATATGTGAAAAGGTACATATTCTTACCATTTCCTAATAATGCCTTGCTTTGTGGCGCCTTGTTTTCTTGTTGATGCTGTAATCTTCTGGCAGACGTTATTGACTCTGTAAGTTGTTTAAAAAATAAAATTATTAACTTAGTATATGATACGACAAAACAAGCAATCTTTAGTTTCATTATTCACATTCATTTCAAAATCAGTATAATATTTGTGAGAATTTATTGTAGTAGATAAATATGTAAATCGATAAATAAAATCATAATTATAGCTTTAATATGAAAAATGACACGATCAATTATAGACTAAAACTTTTTAACGACAATGAAAGTTGAGATTTATTGAATAGTTAATTTATGAATTTGCGAACAAACGGTTTTGACCGCTTTTTATCAAAAACTAATAAAATGATACCCAACTGAAACATTTTCCGAGTAAAATGACTTTGATTTTTTTAATTTGATTAGGTTTTCAGAATTTATATAGGAAACTGTTAATTATGAAGAATTAAATCGGCTGATTTTCACGTAAGACCAGTGAACGTTAGCAATAATTTGAAAAACTATTTGAGATAATCAAATGAAAATACCTTAAAATATTTTGTTTCAGTTAATAGTTAATTAAAAATCGTTTATTTTAATATGCACAAAAATGTTTATTAATGTTTTTCATAATCGTGTATCCGTTTATCTTTTTTATACTTTCTTAATTCTTTCGTAATAATTATTTCTTTCAGAATTAAATAAATGAATTTAATTTTGGAATTTATCGTTACTAGTAGTCAGAAATAAACCATTTGTAATTTAAATGGTGCTCATAATACAAAATTTAAGGGTGTATAAGATATTTCACTAATAAGTCAATCTTTCATATATCCCATATCCTGTGCAATAAAATTATCGCTTAATTGTCGCTTTTCTACTTCTGGAAATATCTTATTCAAGTGTTTCACAATATAAAATATTAAATAACTACAAAATTAGCATTATATATTAAAAGTCAATTTTTTTTTCACATCGGTTCAAAGTAAAACATCGATATAATTTGTAGTGCTGCATCCTTATTAATTTGAAATAAAATCAACGACGACACACGAATAGATGACGAGTGATAAGAAAGCCTCAACAATAAGAGTGCATTCGAATAGTTTTGAATGGTAACCTAAAAATATAAAATGAATATATTTAATATGTAGTGAGGGGGCGGGGGTCACGGGAATAATATAACGGACGATGGACCCGAGGACTTTCGTACGGCGCGCACGCAAAACATCATTTCGATAATAGACATTGAAAAAGATTAGCAATGCGTCATTCAAGCGCTCGCTGTGCGCATTGCTATCGCATATACAATGTTTATGTAAGCGGTTATGCCGTTCTGCTCACAGTTCATTAGTGTTGGTCAAAATAGACCGAGCGTCGCGAGCGGCAATCATTTCAATTCATTATCTGACGATAACACCGAACGACTCAACCAAAATAATACTGAATATCACCTATTCGCGAAATACTTTTAACGTATCTGTTATCTACTATCTTGATGACGATAAGTAAACTTGAGTCGCTTAAGTCTAACATGTTCTCATGTAATTTATGTGATTACAATAAATTCTATTATTCATCATATCGAACATAAAGATTCAACTAGCTGTAAGTGGAATTCTGTCTTAAGGCAATTAAGGCATCGTGCCTTAAGGCAAATTGCTGGAACTTCCCGTACCAAATATTATTATTTTTTTAAAAACGATTAACATTCTTGAAAAAATTTTACTTCGAAAAAATGATTTTTGAGAAACTATAAATTGGACAAAAAATTACTTCTTTTGAAAAATTATTTGGTTATTATTTTGAAAAAAAATGTTTTCTTTATTTTGACATATTTTGAAAGATCTGAACTTTTTTTCAAAGCAATCGTACGGCTTTAACTGCATATGGAGACAAAATATAAAGCGCGTAAGCGCCGCGTCGCCGTCTAACGGATAAACATTGGCACGGAACCCATAGGAATGTAAACAAAATTTATACTTATTGTTAAAATCTCTATAAAATATCTGATAATTTGATGTGCATATGTCTAATGTTTATTTTTGACCGCCAAATGGCTCATTTTTTTACTTTTTCCCCCATATCTTCAAAGTCGTTGGACTTGCCTTTCCAAAAATTTGAACAGTTTTTTATTTAGTCAATACAAATAAAATGTTTTTTGAATTATTCAAATCGGACGTTCCGTTCTCTTAAAAACTGAGTTACCGTTTTTGGCACTTTTTGCCCCGTATCTCCGGAACGGCTAGACCTGCCTTCTCCAAAAACTAATCAGCACGTCTCCTTATCAATACGGATCGAATGTTTTTTAAATTATTCAAATTGCTTCATCCGTGTTCCCGAAATCGTCGACGAAATTTTGTATCCGCACACACATACATACTACGCACACACACACACACACACACATACATCCATTTTTTCTAAGGTATGCCAAAATGTTCAGAAACCTCTGAAACGTAAAGATATATAAAAATTTTCATTTTCGATTTTTTTGCGATTACTATAACTTACCCTACGGGAAGTTAATAAAGTGAATTAACTTTGATAAGAAGAAAAAATCTTCATCATATAAATTGGCGACCAGATCCGAAAATTATGATCTTCTTATAATATAACTTATAATATTTCGGATAATGTAATTCTTCACTTTTCCAAATTTATTATTTATCAAATGTCACTTATTTAAACAAGCCACTTATATAATTGTAAAGCTTTGTAAGTATGCGTTTTATGTTGACTTTCGATCAGTGTCCATACTGTATTTTTACATGTCCATTGGCTTGTTTATCGACAGCGAGGAGAATCCCGACGCACACACACATGTAAGATTTCAGCATCTCAGCGCGACCGCAATTGTGAGATAATTTGAATGCGCGCCATTAACTTTTTCAATAATCGACAATCAGCCAAAGATATCGAACTACATACATATAAAGGCTAACAATGAAGACAAAAATTATTTATTTTGTGAAACTAATTTCTACTTTCTTAATTTAAAAATATGCTATTAATTACACGTTACATTATCCAATCAACAAAATAAAGATAAAGCAAAGTGCAAATTATTAAATTATAGTCGGTGGAATTTTTTTGAGTGTAAATTTCTTGTGGCGACATTGTATGATGAATAATCAAAAGTCCTTTCTTTTGATACTTTTTGTAAAAAAATTTTCAACGTTTTATTTGAGTTTGTTTTTAAGAGCCGTATACTCATAGATTTTAACATTGAACAATTTATAATTTTTTCGTTAATATCCCAATTTCAATTCAAATTGAGGATATTAACAATTTCATATTTTTCGGATCGGAGAACCATCGAGAAATAAGAATCAAATTGATTCACACGATCAACTTCGTTTTTGAGTTTTAAATTAAGGGGGTATTATTCTAGTACAGAGCGATGAATTTTATGTCATTTTTAAAGTGTCTTAAAAGAAAACAATGAATGTTTTTGCTATCCATTTTTTTACCACTTGTTTATTAATATTATTAAAATATAATACCAAAATTAAAAAAAAATTGAAAATTAAAGAAACTGGCAGCTGATGAAGTGGGGGGTCTCAAAAAATTGGCACCTCAGTCTTGACATGATTTCAGCCCTCCTAGGCATCCGAAATAAAAGAAATAAAGAAATTATTAATCTACAATGATGCCGCAATCGCCCGAACTAGCGATGAGTAAAAAAATTTTTTTTTTAAATTGGCGATTGTTTGTCTTTTTTTACTGTTTTTTGGGTTTCTCGAATTTTTTAATTATAGTAAAAATTGGAATTTGGAGATGATGCTAGTTCGGGCTACAGATAGGTCTATAAACAAGACTCTCTGAACATTTCAAGTAAATCGGTCGAGTAGAACTCGAAAAATCGTGTCAAAGGTACTGAAAAGTCTGTTCTGAGAAAAACGCATTTAAAGTTTTCCGTTAAGTTTTTTGCTCTCAAAGTCAAAAATGATATGTTATACTTCTTTTATTTAATCTGCCATTCCTGCTTCATGCATCGGACCTTCTTCTACTTGAAAAAAAAACTATTTTCTGCATTTCTCTCTTTTAATCGAACAGTTCTAGCCTTTGAGCCTCCTTTGAAGCGGTGGATGTACGTATTTCAGATCGTTTAATCCGGGCATTGTCTCGTCTTACAGCAAATGAATTTCTGGCCCAATTTGCATTACCAAAAGGGTCATCATTTTTAAAATCGAAAAAAAACCTTCATTGAATATGCAAACAGCAATAAATGTTGCTTTTCAAATACCTAGGATCGGGAATGAATATGTTTCGGAAAATCCAAATCAACGAGTGTAGAGATTCATTATTGTTCTGAGTTTCTGAACCTATACATCGAATTAATAATTCATCTGACGATAAACTGTCTTAAATTAGTCTAATGACTTCCTAATGCCTTTTGTCCAATTAGACCCTGCCAAACCAGTTTGGAGAACGAGTCAGTAAAATGCATATATCTCCGAAAATAATTCAAAATTTCAAAAACCTTCTCGTACCCATATTCTTAGATAGTTATACTTTGAAAATATGAAATAAAAAAGAATCGATTTTTTGAATTTCTACACTAGAATACCCCCTTAAGGTACAAAGGAATATTTCTGTCTATTTAAGAAGAAAAGCAGTTAATTGCGGCAACGTAAGTTATAAAACTTTAGTAGATTATATTTTCAGAGAATATAATATATAATATGATAATTATGTCACTTAAGAACGATCAAAATGATGAATAGAGCTAATCAAAAATAATTAATTCATATTGAACATAGAGACTTTTCCGTGGCTATATAGTAAAATCATTGGCTTTTCAAAGTTCCAGGTTCGATACCCACTTTGGATAGCCAGCAGAAGTAGTGCTATCTGTTTTTACTTGAAAATACTCAAAATATATGTTTCCAATATGTCAGTATTAGAGTAATTAAACGTACATAAAAAGTATTATAAAATAAAGTTCTGATTGCTGTTCTACAATAAAGAATATGGGTGGATTAAGGTAAGGACAAGATCATTCTGAATATTTATCTATTATTAGTGAGCACTTCAATTTTCTTTGGCAACACGAAACTAT